AGTTCCATTTCTCAATTTTATTTTTCTCTGATTATGATTTAAGTATGCTCCTTATTAACAGTATAAAACGGGAATTTTTCCTACAATTTTGATTTCCATTAACAGGGGATTTAATTAATTTACATTATGCTTCCTGATATACAGAGATTTACTGCCACCATGCTATCGTTTTATTTACCACAGCTTTTCTATGCACATCCTCTCAAAACTTTAAATCATCTCTAGATTACTTATAATACTTAATACAAGTTAAATGCTATGTCAATCATTATACTGTGTTTTAAAATTAGTTTTATTTAAAATTTTTGTATTACTATTATTATTTTGTTATTTCCTATCTGTCTTTTTGCTCCTTTCCTGCCCTTAAATTTTTTATTTTGAATTAATGCATTCAACTTTTATGTGTGTAGTCAGTCTTAGCATTTTAACCAGAACACTGGAATCAGTAAAGTCGAATGCAAATGGTATTACTATTCTTTTCCTGAACATATATGGAAATTATAAATTTTTAACTTAGTTCACACCTTCCCATATCCCATGTTAATGCTGTTCACAATTTAGTTTCATTTTATTTTCATCTGTTCCTCAACTGGTCTTTTTTAAAGGAATGAATTCTTATTTTTCATTTTTAGTAGTTTATTCAGTGACAATTTGTGAGTAGTAAATTCTCTTTATCTTGATTATCTGAAACTCTTTTAAATGTTACTCCTTGGAGCAATAAATGTTGGATTTTCTAATTTTATCCTCCATTAGTTTTAACTTCCCTTTCACATATTCATTCACTTTATCTTTCTTACCCATATTGTGGGAAGTTTCATGAGATCTACACTCCAGTTTACTAATTTTCTCTTTAGCTTTATCTAAAGCTGTTTCTGACCTGATTTTTAATCTTCCATTGAGTTTAAATTTCAGTCAAAATTCTAGACACTTCATTTGATTTTTCTTCAAATCTGTCCTTTATACAACATTCTACTGTCTCATTCAGATTGCTCTCTGATGTGTTATTAAGATGCTAACTGATTTATTGTGTTGTTGACTCTTCCTTATTATTTATTATGTTATTGATTCTTCCTTACTGTGGACTGTTTTCTTGGGTGATTTGAAACTTTGTATTGTAAGCTCATTTTCAAGAGTGAGTTATTTTTTTCTTGGATCAGTGCATTTCCATTATTGAAGGAACCCTAGAAAGTAGCCTGCTGTTTGCTTTGCTGGAGTCCTAGAAGTTTAATTACATATATATATATATTTGCTTCCAACAACTGTATCTTAGACACCATTCCAGAGGTGGTGTAGGATTGTGGTTTTACCATAGGTTTTATTTAAGTGAAAACTTCATTTCCCTTTCCCCTACCTTGAATATGCTTGTGGCTTCTCTGGGCTGGTGGGCAAAAATGTTCTAGTTGTTTCTCATGGTGGATCAGTCATTTATGAGTCCTAGCCTCATTTGGGATGTTTGCTTTTAAGTCTAAGCCTCAGACCTTCACGAAACTAGAACTTCTGCCTCTGTGTCAAAACTGAAATTCTAATTTCCAGTCCCTGGGACCTACATCCATGCCCAGTGCCTGCTCCTTCTGATTACCCTGGTGTCCGTTCACAGAATTACCTCTCTAGCTTGAAGTTGCAACTTCATTTCTGGCACTTGAGGATTTCTCTGTCTTCTTTCTTATAAACCTGTTTTGTTTCTCTTGTCTCTCTCCATGCGTGTATGTGTGTCTTTTAAGTTTGTAATATTTTATCCAATATTTCTCTATATTTTCAATCAAAGGTATTTGTATTAAGGTAGGTGGTTAAGGAAGAAATTTATCTGAATTTGTTTTTAACAAATTAACGAATAAACATTGACAGTAATATTTCCTGTATATTTCCTATTGTATTCCCTTTAAGTGTGAAGTTAGCTTTTGAAAAAATACTACACTACATTATCTAGGTAACTCTGAATTGTACTTACATCAAGAATAAACCCTGAATTTCTCCTATGTAACAATATACCTACATTTATATCAGAATTATTTTTATACAATTTTGAGATGCAGAGGTTGTAGTTCTTACCTGGTTAACTGTAACTAAGCTGGCTTTATTTTGAGATAATGCAGTATTGCTGAAGGACTATTTACTAACATTCCAGACATGTATTTTCCCAAAGGAAATAAACACTAAATAATAATTCCTGATTGTTGATTGCAACTTTCTGGCAGTCTTTTCTATCTTCATTCTTTTTTAAAACACAGATCTTATCCCTCTTGCAAGCTTTGTAGTTTCACTATTATAAAGTCTCTGTCTTATGGAATAAGGGTCAAAGCAATATTATTTCTTTGCAAGACTTTGACCGTAATATGCCAGAAACATCTAGCTTACCATTACACAGAAACTATAACTTTCACTGTAAAATACTATAATTACACAGTGTAGAATATCTCTATGGTTTTTATCACTGAGGAAATCAATAGCAGTATAGACTATAATTCTCCATTGGACTAGAGTATGTACAGAACAGTAGATGAAAGAGTTTATTGACTTAGTACTGAGATTGTTACTATAGCAGATCAGAGCTGAAGAAAGAAATAGCTTTTTAATGGAATGATTTTAACCCAAACACTAAAATGTTTCAGTCTAACAGAGACCTGCTAAAAAAATTAACAAATGCAAATAAACACATTAAAAAGAATCTCCTCTTGTAGCCTCATTCTCCTTCCCTGTCTACATATACATGTATGACCATCATTATTGGCAAATATCTGATCATAAAGAAATCTATTAATGCTATAAGAAATGATCTGTATGCTAAGAGACTGCTATGTCATGAAAGTCTTGGTTTGGATACTTCATGTTTTGATTTCACTGATGTCATAATTTAGAATGTATCATTTTGTATAGCTAATAAAAGATCCAGTGTTCCATTTTGTGGCATTGTATTCCTCATTGAGTATGAGGTTTTTAAATACATACAATAGAAGCAGTAGGTATTAAATCACTTAAGATTTGAAATAGTATATTGAGAGAGGAAGAAAGTGAAAGAGAGAAAGAGAAAAACTCCAAATATTGCTACTTCTCAATCACACAAATCAATTTGTTCTACAGTAAAGGAAGAATATTAAATGATGGGGGGGGGACACACCTCATCAACAAGGGTGCATGCATAGTAAACATTTGTATACCTAACCCTGAATTGTATCCCACATCTTTAAAATAAAAAATTTAAAAAAATTGTTCTGATGCCAGGCTCAGTGGCTCAGCCTGTAATCCCGCGCCTTTGGGAGGCTGAGGTGAGTGGATGCCTGAGCCCGCGGGTTCGAGACTCGCTTGGGCAGCGAGATCTCATCTCTACAATAAATCAAAAAATCAGCCGGGTGTGGTAGCGCATGCCTGTAATTCCGGCTACTTGGAAGGCTGAGGCAGAAGGATCGCCGGAGCCCAGCAGGCAAGGCTACAGTGACCGGGAGCAGCCACTGCACTCCAGAGTCTGGGCGACAGAGTGAGACTCCAACTCAAAAAAAAAAAAAAAAAATGTTGCTCTGGAATTCAGAGATAAGATTCATACTGTGCACATTTAACGTATACTTTTTCTCATTGTTATTTACATTTTTTAATTGGGCACCTGTGAGCTTCAAGTCATTGGTTAAAAAAATAATAAATTGAGCATCTCTCCATATGAAACTGTAAAAAAAAAAAGAATAACTTGTATGTGGTATGTTGTTATTTTAATCCTTAACTCAAACTCATGCCTAGGGGAACAAGCTCTGTATCTCTGGATAAGTGGTTAGTAAAACAGATTTTATTCATGCATTACTAGCACAAACTTATTGAGATGTACAGTAGCAGCCCCCAGATCCAAACCAGCAGCTGTGCTTTCTTCACTCAGCAGCAGTCTATCTTGAGGAATGCAATGTGCTCCGAACATAAAAATAAGAGGCCTATTGGATTTTTATTCTGTATGAGCAACATAATTATTTATTTGTATTTTAAGTAAGATTTCTTTTTAAAGGTCTCTGTGTGTATAGACTCTGAAAGGTAAACAAAATTTCATAAATGCGGTGAAAACAAAATATTTTATCTTAAGTGACAAATACAAATACCTCTATACAAATACCTTTGGCTGCTTGTACTCGGCAAGCAATGTGTAATGTGCTATGAGAAATGTCAACATTAGCCACCAGGAGTAGTTCAGATCCAAAGCTGTACAGCGTTTGATCCATTTATCTGAATGCATGTGATTTCAGAACATTTTTTAGTACCTTAATTCATGGTCATGAAAAGAGATGGTAAACTGCATACACCTGAAGGTTTCTTAATAAAGGGTTAAGAGTTTGCAAGTATGAAAATCAAACTACCACCTAAGGAAAAAAAGGCATGAGAAATGGAGAATATTTAGCTTATAGCACCTATTACATTCTTGAGCCAATCTTCTGCACTCATTTTTAAGATTTAGTTTTATTAAGATTATTTCCTTTAAATAAACCAAATCTTATTCACATTATAATTTGTAACACAAACCCTGAATTTTCAAGGGGTTGAGAAGATGTTCTTATTAAACATTTGTTGTAAAGTGGTGAATCTACTTCTCTTTATACATATTTTACATTTCATGGACATTGGCTCAGTACCAGCCATGAATCATAAGTTAATAGCTTACTTTTTGGAAGTCACATTTCAACTCTATGAGGAGTTTAGTGAGTCCTGTTGTGCACTCTGAGAAAACTGAGTAATGGTTCCCGGGTCTGGAAAGAATGGCAGCCTCTCCATGGAAATAATTAAATTACTTTTAGCTCATGGGAAAGCAATACTCCTTGTCATTTGGTAACAGAACACAATTATTATTCATTTTGGTTCTTGGGAGATTAGCTTCTATCAGTTTTGAGAGCAAGCTAGGATATTGCAACGTTACTACATTTTTGTTGCTGTTGTTCAAAGAATCCTTAATTTCTTATATCTCCTGCAGAGAATTGCAAATGGTTCAATCTCAGGCCCCTTCAAGTGTCTGCAGTTTGCTCAAATTGACTTACTCTGCATGCAAAGTCCATCAGTGCAGTTCTTGGATTGCAAAACGAGGCCATCGCAGTCCTTGCCTCCGTTCTTCGGAGCTGGCGCCGTGCACTCTCTCCTGCGCCAATGGGTGCACTCGGTCCCACAAGTAGACCACTTGCTCCATGAGGTCCACCTGCCGTCCACTGCCAAGAAAAAAATCCAACCTTAGGTCAGAAGGAGAAGCAGCTAGCTGAGGGTAAAGAGAGCAGAGCTCAAATATAACATAACAAGACAAACAATGGAAGAAAACGCTCCACCAAGAAGCACTGACTTCAACTGCTGGACCATGCGCCACATGATTTCGGTTCTGTGAACTTTCTTACAGGGTGTGGCTGTTTCCTCACTGACCAAGCCAACCGAAGCTTACTGGGACACAGAAAAACCAAAGTTGTCTCCAGGAGCTATGTAAAAGTAGGTCATGGCTTTTCTCCCTTTTCTACTAAGAGGGAAAGTTAGTGAAAGTTAGTGGGCCTCTCTTTGGATCCAAGATTCCTTAATTCATAGTGTTCTGTGGACAGTGAAAGAAAACTTGGGTGGGAGTTGGAAAAAGAGGCTGGTATGAGGGGGAAGAAATCTATCTTTCTATGCATTCACTCATCCAATTGATCTCTCTCTCTTTTCTCACCCTCTCTGTAACCTATGTCTTATATACTCTTTTTATTTTACTTTTTTATCCACGCTGCTTGATTCTGCTAAAACCTTCTACAATGCTTTCTTGAATACTGTTATTTTTTACTTATCTGATGAGTCCATCATTTGATAATACATCTATTCCTATTTTTATTTTAAAAATAATATTTAGGTAAGTGCCTAATTTTTATATAATTCAGTAGAACTGATTCACTTTCTTCCTAATTTTGCTGGCTGATTTGGCAGCAATTTCAATGATAATGAGCTCAGATTTCTCTATTTCAAAAACATACAACTTAAATTCCAGTTTGAAAAAAAATAGTAAATTGCAATCATGCTTTAAAATTTACCCTTTTAAATTTCTCATAAAAATATGATAAAAATGTTAAAATAAGAGTTTTAAAAATGTTTAATTTCCTTGAATACATAAATAATTATTATTATTTGGGAACCAATGCAAAACAATACTAAACATCATTATTCAACATCTAAACCTTTTACATCTGCATGCTGATAGACACAATATTAATTTTAATAGTCTACATAGTTTTGTAAATCTATATAATTTCATATTTAAATTATTGTGTAAATGTAGTATGTATAATGTGCATATAGATATAAACATGCCTACATGAAAAAATGATGAAAACATTGATATTTCAATCATACAGACTTGGCTGTAGAAGCAACCTTCAACTACTTGAACAAAAACATTTGCTTTGGCCTAGATCATCCCAGTGTACTGAAACACTGACATACACATACACATTTCTATTTCAATTCAAATTGATGAGTGCATTTTTAATCGTGAGAATCAGCACCTACAAAATGAAATCTAAAATTTTAAGCATAGCCAAGTGTTAAAATTTGTTCCATAAATAAAAACTCTCAAATGGTTTAGTGTGAGAGACTCTATAGATACTTGGAAATAAACTTGGTAGTGTAAAATGTAGATTATATTATTTTCTTCAGTTCATTTTTCCAGCCCATCCTTAGAAAGGTACTATTAAAGGATATACAGGAAAAAATTAGGCAAAAGCAAAGAAACTGTATATCTAAACAATGAAATTGACAACACAATAGCTACCTCAAGGAGCACACAAAATTTATGGAAATTTAGAATGTATTGTATAGCTCGGCATTCTAATGGAATTTTGTCTTGGTTTTGGCAAATATTATCTTCAGTTTACCTAGGGATAAGAGCTGGTAGCAATATGAGATAGTACGGAAAGATGCTAAGAGGCAGAGATGTAATCTCATATAGGTACCACTGCAAATAACTCAAAAAATAGATGGCCAACATGTACAGATAAAGAACCGAATGCACTGTATTTTCAAAATCCATTATCCCACGTGTCACAAAATTTTGCCTTCCTTTTAATTCATTCCAAATGTTTTATTTGCCCTTACCTAGAAGCTGACAGCAAATAGCAAATATTTCAGTCTAAAAGATTTTCTAAATTTCAGTTCCTATTAATTTCCATTGTTTTCTGAAGATCAAGGATTGTTATTCCTAAAATGCATGGCTTTCGATGCTGTTCAAATCCCTTGAAATATAGAATCTGCAATCTTAGCTTCAGTACTTTTGTTGAATAATACAGAGGAATTACGTTCATAAGTGTTTAATCTTCTGTTTTGTACAATTTTGCATGTTTTGGTAACAAAGTTAAGTAATCTTTTGGAGGAAAATACTTGATTTCTTAGCAGTGTAAACATCAAATAGAGGATGCATCTATTCTCTAAAACATATTTTTAGAATACTGGGAGACATTTGGAATGAGAGGACTGATTTATTTACCTGGGCACAATGTAGTACAGGCTATTTTCTGCACACTCTGCCCTTCGCAGAAGGCACCGCCATTGAGTGGTGCTGGGTTGGTGCAAGTCCTAGTACGTTTCTGGTAGCCTCGTCCACAGCGGCTATTACACACAGACCACTCTGTCCAGGTGGACCAGCCACCATTCACTAAAGGAGGCAGACAATGCAAAGTGGATTAAACGTGTGCATATGCACACAGGCACACAAAACACACACAGCATATAAACAAAAAGTCATCTCCCAAGTGACCATTCAAAAAATTGAAAATTTCAAAGGCAGAAGAGACCATGGACATAATTTCATTCAAAGTTTTATTGTATAGCCAAAGAATCTAAACAGAGAAGTAAAAAAATTATTTACCAAGATTTACTCACTTGGAAAAATAAATGGAATTGTGTTCTCTTTTTCTTGGCCAGTGTTCTTTGAAAAAATACATTTCCTTACCTGGTTATGCTCCAAAAATTACTTTTGACAGCTTATCTCAAATAATAAATGTGCATATCCTTAAGCCAGGTCTACAAGTGAAACTTCAGCATGGGAACTGAATTCAGTCATTTAGCCTTTTTAAGAAACAGATGATTATTTTTCTTTCTTTTTCTTTTTTTTTTAAGTCGGAATCTCACTCTGTCACCCAGACTGGAGCGCAGTGGCCACTCCCGGCCACTGCAGCTTCGACCTGCTGGGCTCCGGCGATCCTTCCGCCTCAGCCTTCCAAGTAGCTGGAACTACAGTTGAGTGCTACCACGCCCAGCTAATTTTTTTTTGATTTATTGTAGAGATGAGGTCTTGTCAAGATGCCCAGGCGGGTCTCGAGCCTGCAGGCTCAGGCAATTCACTCACCTCAGCCTCCCAAAGTGCGGGATTACAGACTGAGCCACTGAGCCTGGCCGGTTATTTTTCTTTAGCATATATAAACTTTACATCCTTTAAAGAGTTTTTGTCAGTTTCACAAACCAATGAACCTGGTTAAAAAATAAAATCTTATACTATTGGAGGCATAAACATATTGATTGGCTAAATAAAGGCCAATTACGATGTTTGATGGAGCTGTCAGTATATGTGATGTAAAACCGACACCATAACACTGTGCACACTATTCACACTATTCATTTTTGGAGATCTCTCTCTAGAAAATACTCTGTTTTTTTAATTGCTTGAATAATATGACTCCATGCCATGATTATAATTAAGCAATTTCCAACAAAAATTATTTGCTGATCGTAAAACATGATACCGCTAGTATATGAATCTGCCTCCTGATACTAAAGAGAGTGTTAGCTGCTCAAGTAACACAAAGCTTATATGTGCACAGCATTTGTCCAACATCTTGTTTTCTAGAAATGGGGAATGATTATGAATATGTTATCTTTACAGATACAGACAAAAGTAAAGTATTTTTCACAGTAGTTTTATATAAAGATGTAGGTAAAAACATAGATAAAAACAACTGTAATGTTCAAAAACAGAAAAATGATGAAGTAATCCACATATGTTCCTGTGATTGACTCCCGGGCAGCCGTTAAAAATGATGCTGTAGAAGGCTATTTAATAATATATGATTATTTCAACATTATGTCTAAATAAAGGTAATGTATATGTATACATTATGTGTAAGAATGTACATATGTAATTAGTACATACTATGTATAAATTAACATGCATATAACTAATATGCAATACATACATATCTATGCATTAAAATATTATTATATAATGATTTAAAAATATTATATGTATATAATAATGTATGTATATTCCTTATTTTAAAATTCTAAGTATACATAGAGCATACCAGTAGTATACATATCATTTCTTTTTAGAAAAGCTATCATGTGATGACAGAATTACAGGAATTTTCTTCTTTGATCTTTTCTGTGTTTTCTAAATTTTCTACAGTGGATGCATATTTGCAATCTAAAAGAGATATTAACAAAATATATATAAAACAGACTCAATATGAAATGCCGGCTAGATATGTTTCTGTGGACTTCTGGGAGCCTAATCTAAGAGCCTGGAACATTTTATGAAGTTGTGTGAAGGACAAACAGATGGTTGACACATAGGGCTTCAGTTAGTATTCCAAAAGCAACTCACCCTGTTCAACATTACAAAATTCCACGCCATGGAATTGTCCACATAAATTGCTTACTAGCAAACTAGCAAGCTGATATTTGGGGTTTACGACATATTGTTCTGCGAAGATTTTAATGAGAAATGAATAATCAGAAAGTTTTAGAGACAGAAAGATCTTTGAAGACCTCAGGCTTATTCTTTCATTTTACAGAGAAGGAGACAAGAAGTCAAGAGAATCCTGGTTAAGAAAAAAGACCACCTGGAGATCAGTTAGTGGCAAAACTCATCCTAGACCTCGAGATTCCTGACCCTTAGTCCAGCGCCGTTTTCTTAACTCTAAATACCTGAGTGACTTGTGTTTGATCTTTCCTAAAGATATTTAGTACTTGTTGCATGTATGGATGCTGAAAGGATGCTCTACATAGGAAGAGATTTACATGTGTATTAAACATCCATATAATGCAGTTATATATAGTCCGTCTTCATTATTATTTATAACTGGTACATGGTGTGATTGTGCCCCATTTCTTCTTTGCATTTCAAATGTTGTTAATCAAGTCTTTCAGGCAGTTTAGAAAGAGATAAAAAGTAGGAAACATGTTATTGTGAGTTAGGAAAGGCAACTGCTTCCAATTCAGTATAGTTATTATCTGGACTAGAAAATTAAACCTCAGAGTAATCAGAGGATTAAAAGAATTGTATGCATCTGTTCTGTAATTAAAATGACAGTTTTAAAGCATCAAGACATTCATGCAATGGAACCTCATCGTGGTTTCTCTTTAAGTACATCTCCGACATTCATGCATTGGAACCTCATTGTGCTGTCTTTAAGTACATCTCTCTCTCAATGCTACTGTAGCAGAGGCAAATTTTTACCTCAAAGGTTTTAGGGTTTTTCTGGGTGGCATGAGAATTAAGTTGCCTTAAGACAGGCCAACAGGAGAAAAGCATACACCTTTATTTGATACAAATTTTCTGTGGCTTGAGGAAATGAAAACCCAAAGATGTCAGAGTTGAAAACACTTATATACTGAAGTGGACAAAGAGCAGTCAACTGTGGTAGAGTAACCAAATTATATGGGAAGACTAAAAGGTTTTCTGTTTTATTATTAGTTTTAGAGATAAGGTCTCACTCTATCACCCAGGTGGGGTGGATTGTAGTGGCATGATCTGGGCTCCCTGTAGGCTCCACTTCCTGGGCTCAAGTGTTCCTCTTGACTTGGCCTCCCAAAGTGCTGAGATTATGGGTGTGAGCCACTGTGCCTGGCCTGAGTTGTTTTAATAAGATCTGTACAAAATTCTCTTTGTTTTAACTTCTTCTCAGTCTCAACTTCCTGTTCTTGATGATAAGAATGTTGTTTGCTTTCTAGTAGAAGGAGAACATCTTTCACTTGGGAATTTCCTCTCCTGCCTGTAAGAAACAGGAGGAGGCCAGGGGTGATGGCTTATGCCTATAATCCCAGCACCTTGGGAGACCTAGGTGGGAGAATCACTTGAATCTAGGAGTTTAAGTCCAGCCTAGACAACATAGTGAGACCTCATCTCTATAAACAAACAAAGAAACAAATAAATAAATAAAAATGAGCGGAGCATGGTGGTGTATGCGTGTAGTCCCAGCTACTCAGGAGGCTGAGGCAGAAGCATTGCTTAAGCCCAGGAGGTTGGAAAAAAAAAAAAGGCATATCAGAGTGATGTTCTTATACCTGCTGTCTTTCAAGTGACATTAACTAAAAATAGTCAACATGCCAGAGTAGAATTTTTGGGGTGCCATATTTTTAACTCCTTTGATATTATCTGCAGTAAGCATAGTTATGTGCCTCATAATGGTTTAGTTAAGGACAGACCACATAAGCAACATTGGTTTCATATGATTATAATGGAGTTGAAAATCCCATCACCTTGTGATGTCATAGGTGTCATAACATTGTAGTGCAATCACTTTCCTTTTAAAAAAATAAGTTTAGTGTAGTCTAAAGGTATAGTTCTTATAAAGTCTACAGTAGTCCTAGGCCTTCACTTTCATTTACCATCACTCACTGACTCACCCAGAGATACTTCCAATCCTGCATTCATGGTAAGTGCCCTATACAGGTGCACCCTTTTTGGTCTTTTATACAGTATTTTTTACTGTACTTTTTCCACGTTTAGATATATTTAGATACATAAATACCATTATATTACAACTGCCTATAGCATTCAGCACAGTAACATGCTGTACAGATTTATAGCCTAGGAGCAATTGGCTATACCATATAGCCTAGGGATGGGGTGGATTATACTATCTAGGCTTGTGCAAGTATATTCTATGATGTTCACACAATGACAAAATCATCTAATGATGCATTTTTCAGAATATAACCCCATTGTTAAGTGACACATGATACATAGGCCAGATACTAGCCAGTGACTGTCCGTCCTCCATGGCCAATCAGATAGCAAGTTCCCTGAAGTATCTTTTAACACTAAGACAGTGATGAAAAGCCTTGTTTTTTTCTAAGAAGTGGTAAGTCAAGGGCATATCATTCTGGAGGTAGTATAACCTCAAAATACTTCCCAGCATTGTTCGGTTTCCTGTGTAACCACAAATCATCAATAATATGAGGACCTGCTATATGTTTAACATTGTGAGAAATATGTAAATATGCATACCAGTCTCTCAGTACAAAGGAGTTTAAAGCTTAGGTGGGGAGATGAAGCCATTCATGAAATGACTAGAAAATAGCTGAGTGCCAAACCACACTGGGAGATAAAAGCATATGTACCACATCAAAATGAGGAGTGAAATTATTTAGTACTTCTGGAGAAATGACAGGTTTAGAAATGAGATGGATTAGAAATGACCAGGGTATGGAAGGAAGCTTCCTGAGACATCGCTTCGTAGGATTAGGGCCACTTGGCCAAGATAAGGCAGCCCTTATCTTCACTGTGCCTGCCTCTATGGAGTGACTAAAAGGAGTCTAGGAAGGTAAAGTTGCTCATCTTTGTTTGGGGAACAGGTCAGCTCCATCTTTCCTGAGGGTCTGCAAACCTTGAATGGAATGTAGGTCCACAGAAACATCAGCAAGCTCATCTGCAGAACTCAATGTAGATGTTGGTGCGGGTTCTGGAGGGGAGTGGGCTTACAGAGTCAGCAGGCACACAGGAGGGCTTCCTTCACCTTGCTAGAAGCTTCCTGATAAAGGGCTAGGATGCCCAAGCCTTGCCTTTCTTATGAATATCAGGGACACAATTAAAACCTTGCCGTCTCTGTGAGAGGCTGCAAGAGAGCAGCAATGGAGATTTAAACAGGTTTCTAGAGTCAGGCAGGGAGGCTTGCACTTGTAATCGGAGATTGAAGCAGGAGGATCGCTAGAGTCCCAGAGTTTAAGGTTGGAGCAAGTTATGATCATGCCACTGCACTCCAGCCTGGGTGACAGAGTAGGATCCTGTCTCTAAATAAATAAATAAAAAGAAAAACAAAAGAAAAAGAAAGAAAAAGGGGGCTTCTAGTTTGATATTTTAAAAATAGAATACCGGCTGGGCTTGGTGGCTCAGCCTGTAATCCCGTGCTTTGGGAGGCTGAGGTGAGTGAATTGCTTGAGCCTGTGGGTTCGAGACCTGCCTGGGCAACTTGACGAGACCACATCTCTACAATAAATTTAAAAAAATTAGCTGGGCGTGGTAGTGTGCGCCTGTAGTTCCAGCTACATGGAAGTCTGAGGCAGAAGGATCGCCAGAGACCAGCAGGTCGAGGCTGCGGTGGCTGGGAGTGGCCACTGCACTCCAGTGTGGGTGACTGAGTGAGACTCCAACTCAAAAAAAAAAAAAAAAAATAGAATACCAATACCAAATAGAAACTGCAGTCAGTTATGAACTAGATTGAGATTCTCAAGAGTCACTCACCATAGACTATGACAGTGGCAGTTGTGCTTTTCCTCCTGGCAACAATGTTTTTGGCAACACAGGTATAATTTGCAGTATCAGAGAGGCGTGCCTGCTTTATGATGAGGTTGTGATCAATTGTAATATAAAAATTCCGATCTTCAACAGGATCAATTGTGTCTTCATTTTTCAACCATTCCACCTAAAGGTGCAAAGGAAAAATAGATAAATCCCCAGTACAGATCTCTGGATGGCTGTCTGTCCTGACTTGTGTTTTGTCATACATACAATGTTGCTCCATGCTATGAACTTCTGCACACTGGCAGGAAGTAACTTTCTGAGGTCATGTTAAGTATCACTCACCTGCCAAACATACTGATTCTGTCTGTACTACATTATTCTCAAATGTCAATGAACCAATTGGGAAATACAGTGTTCAAATTGTTTTCACTTTGCCCTGCAGGCAGGAACAGGGAATATGCACTGCCAAGTTCAGAACCCAATCAAAAATAATAGGATAAGCATTTCAAATCGAAGTCAAACCTTTCACTATTTGATTTGTTTACTCTTGGCAACTTACCTGCTGTTTTGCAGAACATTATATAAAGACTGTTTTAAAAAGCTCAAAAGACATTTTAGACATCATTTAGCTGTAATAAAATAACATTTGGATGATTTATATGTTGTTTCCCTGAAACATATGGATTAAATATCTGCCAAAATGCATTGACTTCAAAAGGCAACAAAATGTATATTTGAAGACGCATCTAAGTAAAAATATTTGAAAAAAATTTTTTTCAATCATTAATGTAATCTGAATAGCTTATACATCATACGCAAATCTCTCCTTTTGTATATATATATATATATATATATATATATATATTTCAAACTTTCAAATCTTTGACTCATAGGACCTAGAATATGACTGTTCAAAACTGTTTTTTTCTATACAAATAATATTAATGTAGCAGCAGTGATGTTATACTTGCTGAATAGGATGAGAAAAATATACCTATGAAAGCTGTCCTTCTGTCCTTCTGGAAGATAAGCTATGTCTTATCCTGGAAGTTACTTTTTTTTTTTTTGTTGCTATGTAGAGGTTTTTCCATAAAGCAAAACAACACTGATATTTACCACACTTAAACTTTCCTTTTGCATTAGGGTGATTGTGGATACAAGTAACCTTTAGTGGTGGGGAGTCAATATTGTTGCCATTTTCAAAACCTTAAGGAGCTTCTCCAGCACCACAAGAGGTCTAGAAATTAATCTCGAAATCTGTCAGTGGGTTTGACATCGTACAACTCTAAATTACATTTAATACAGGGACTCTCAAATAATGCTCCTCTAATCCTTAGAAGAGAGGCCAACATTTAAAGAGAAAAACAAAAATCAACAGCAATCCTGAATATGCTTGGATATATCTGATAAATATATATATATATATATATATATATATATATATACACACACTCATTTGACCTGAATTTTCTCAAAGCTTGGCCCTGTGTGTGGTAATCTGATCTTGCTGGAAGTGCATGGGGGAAGGCAGCAAAAATTATGCTGTTAGAAATCTCCTTAAGATAATTGAAAGTTGACATTAATATTAATGGGTACAGTGTGTGTTATTTAGGTGATGGATATCCTAAAAGCTCAGACTTCACCACTATGAAATATATTCACAGAATAAAAAGCTGCACTTATTCCCCTTAACTTTATACAACAATTTAAAAAAAAAATCGAATCTACTTAGGTTATCTATGTCTTTCCAAAGAAAGCTCTCTGCTCATAGAAGGTGCTGTTGGGCTCTCCTCCCATGCTCAGTGTTGGGATCCCTTCTGCTTTTTTGTGCTCTATGTGTGCTTTTCTTTCAAGGACTCAGAGCTGCCACTCTTCTTTGAAGGACAGACCTTTGAAGGACAGAAGAACCTAGGAGTTCACATCTTTCTCCACAACTTCCCCATTAGCCGTTGACAAATAGGTGCAGAAATATGCCCTGTATACCACCAGGTCAGTATCTGAGTGTTAGTCTCCAGAATTCCCCGTGGGATCTGGTTGGAGCTATATCTTTGAGACTTCACCTGAATTTATACTATCATAAGTGGAACATCACTACTCTGAAGTCCCAAATGTTCCAAAATCTGAAATTGTTTGAGAGCCAACATGAAGTCACAAGTGGATAATTACACACCCAACCTCATGTGACTGGTTGCACAGGTGCACAGTATACAGTTTATTCAGCATCCAAAGGAAATCATGGTGATGCTGAACAACCAAAGATTGTCTCACATGGGTGGCAGAGGTAGTGATATCTTTGCTTTCTGAGGGTTCAATGTACACAAACATTGTTTTATATACAAAATTATTTAAAACGTTTTGTAAGATTGCCTTCAGGCTATGTGTATAAGGTGCAGATGAAACATAAATAAGGATTGTTTTAACTTAGTTCCCATTTCCAAGATACCTCATTATGTATATGCAAATATCAAAAAATATGATATCCAAGACACTTTGGTCCCATGCATTTTGGATAAGAGATCCTTAGCTTGCACTTGTCTTCTTTTTTTCTTTCTTGCTTTTTTCATCCACTCTCCAGGGTTCTTTTGAAATCGTTTTCTTTTTCTTTTTTTTTTGAGTTGGAGTCTCACCCTGTCATCCAGACTGGAGTGCAGTGGCATGCTCCCGCCAATCGCAGCCTTGACCTGCGATCCTTCCACTTCAGCCTTCCAAGTAGCTGGAACTACAGGCATGCGTTACCATGCCTGGCTAATTATTTATTTATTTATTTATTGTAGAGACAAGGTCTCGCCAAGTTGCCTGGATGGATTTTGAACCCACGGGCTCAGGCAATCCACTTGCCTTGGCCTCCCAAAGTGCTAGGATTACAGGCTGAGCCACTGAGCCCGGTCTGGAATCACTTTCTTAAAAACTATTTGCATTCCAATCTTTGCTTTGGGAGAGACCTAGGGCATAAATGTTCAATATCATAGTTTCTTCCATCTAATTGATATGTGTTGTCCTAATCATAAATTACAAAAAGAGATCCGAAGGGATCTTAAAAAGCCACTTGTTTATTTAAAGAGTTTATTATATGGAAGAAAGTATTCAATCTGCACAGTTGACAAGAGATTTAAAGAGAGTTGTATGATTGTTGGGTATACACAATTCCACATATTCCTTGCATGTCTCTTGTTGAAGCAGTGTTGAAGCAGTGGTTGTGACTTGAGCCTTGAGGAACCCTGAGGAATCCCAGTAGTGCTTGGGACTCTGTGGGGGTTGGGGTAGCCCTCCTTTCCTAACTTCCACCTTCCATTTCAATCACAGAAGCTCTGATTTTACCTATTTTCAGCATTGGGTTTGCTTGTGTACCTATGTAAAGAAACAAATGGCTGTAGAAATGGAAGGGAGAGCCCAGGACTTCTTCAGTTTCTGACAAGACCCCCACAGCTCCATATACCCCAGGACTGTCCACTGTGCTGCAGTCCTCTGCTCTGAGACCATGGTCTCCTTGAGAGGCTCACTCAGGACTGCAGGTCATCCCTCCCATCCTGTGCTATATCCCAAGTGCTGCATGTCACCATCTCCAGACACCCTTCCATGATGCCTTGGGATATGGCACTAAAATATTCTACATTTCCAACCTTTTTTTAGACTGCTCCCTTTACTTTTTCTTTTACTAAAACCTAGGTCTTTTTGATGCCACTGTTTATTCTGCAGTTCTCTCAAGTGACAGATGTCTGATTTCCTAAATCCAACATACCACTGGACCTGGGGCATTGGGTAAGTGTACACCTTGCTCAGCCTTTTCTATTTCAGACCTTTCTCTCTAAATATGTTTGCTTTGAATCTCATGCCATCTCAGCAGGGATCCCTTTAGGAACTGGGCCGCACAGCAGGAAGTGAGCACAGGCAAGCTAGTGAAGCTTCATCTGTATTTACAGCCACTCCCCATTGCTGGCATTACCACCTGAGCTCTGACTTCTGTCAGATCAGTGGTGGCATTAGATTCTCATAGGAACACAAAGCCTATTGTGAACTGCACACCCAAGGGATTTAGGCTGTACACTCCTTATGAGAATCTAATGCCTAATAATCTGAGGTAGAGTTAAGAAATATCACAGAGGTCATTGTCTTTCAAAATGAGATCCCTGGACCAACAGCATCAGCATTACCTGGAAGCTTGATAGACATGCAGAATCTCAGGCTCTGCCCACCTGGACTTACTGAATGAAAATGTGCATCCTAACAAGAACTTCAGCATTCACATGCACATGGAAGTTTGAGAAGCATGGTTTGGCTCTTGTCCTTACCATTAAGTGAAATCCTTCCCTAAACTCAGTTTCAATCATACTCTCCTTTTACCACTTTCTGTCTTTCCTACTCATTCTCTCTAGTTCAACAATCCTTCACCAGGGCCTACAAGCTACAGAACTTACCGACTTTATTTCCCAGTCCTTCATGTTGCCTCTTCCCTCTTTACCAAGTGTACATTCCCATGTCTAACTTTATATATGGCACGTGTATTATCCTCTCAGCTCTTCCATCTCTTACTCACATGACTGGCCACTACTCCCCTATATCACCTCTATGTCCTTAAAGTGGAGCATGACTGTGCACAGCCATGTAGAATGGGCTCATCTTAAATTCATGATCATAGAACACAAGTGGTCTCTTAAGTCTGCCAAAGTCATATTCTATTTTTTCTGTTCACTCTCTCCCTTCCCTATAAGTGTGAACTATTTCACAGTTATCTCTCTCCTTAAATACTATTTTTCTTTCTATTCCCATGTTCAGCGATAACCAAGATTTTTTAAAAAAATTATTTATTTTAGAGTTGTGGGGTTCAAGTGAGGGTTTGCTATATAAGTAGACTGCATGCAGGTGAAGTCTGGACTTCTAGAAGGCCCTCTCTCCCCTTGGTGGAGCACCAGATACCCCTTGTGTTGCTGTGTACCCTCCTGCCTCCCTCCTTCCCTCCCTCTTTTTCTCCCTCCCTCCATTCCTCCTTCCCTCCCTGCCTTCCTCCCTCCCATAGCAGTGCCCAGAGTCTTCTAATTCCACTCTAGTGTTATTGTGACTAGTGATCAGGGCTCACTTATGAGTGAGATCATGCAGTATTAAGTTCTTTGTTTCTGTGATAGTTCATTTAGTATGATGGTCTCCAACTGCATCCAAGTCAAGATTTCTGTGTCTCTGAGAAAA